CAGCCGCTGGTCAGTTTCAGCAGCGGCTGACTTGGGGTCTCCTGGGGCAGAGCAGCTGGGGTGCTGCTGCATAAGTCGGATCTGCGTAACTTGGGGACTGCCTGTACTGCTTTTCTCACTACACCATTCTTCAAGTGAGATTTTCTTTGAACTAAAGCAGATTGTGTTGTGTAGTTTCATTATTTGTATATTAGGACACAATGTGCGTTTTGCTTATAGCTGTTCCATAGCAAAGCAATGAATAAACTAGACTGGTTAGTATGAACTTGTAAAACACAGGAAAATACTTACAATAAAATGTGAAGAGGCTCTCTGAGGATGCTACAAAACTAGAGTGACATTATACTAAAACAGTGATAGAGATGCAGCCGTGTTAGTCTGGTGTAGCTGAAACAAAAGACAGAACTATGTAGCACTTTAAAGACTAACAAGATGGTTTAATAGGTGATGAGCTTTCGTGGGCCAGACCCACTTCCTCAGATCAATATGTGGAAGAAAATTGGCACAACCATATATACCAAAGTGATAGAATTAAAAAAAAAAAAAGTGAACGCATGTGAAATTGACAAATCAAATTTTAGGACAGAGTGGGGGTGAGAGGGGAAGGTAAGTTTCTGTGAGGTAGTGACATAGGGGTGATAATTGGGGAAGCTATCTTTGTAATGGGTGAGATAATTAGAGTCTTTGTTTAAATCCATACATAAAGTGTCGAATTTAAGCATGAATGACAATTCTGAAGCTTCTTGTTGAAGTCTGGAGTTAGTCTCTTTGAAACAATATGCATATTTTAAGGTCATTAAGGGAATGATCAGTCTGGCTGAAATGGCAGGCAACAGCTTTCTTTCTGAGAGAGTCTTATATCTGTTTAGTGTGCATTGATTCTTTGGCGAAGTGTCTGAGACGTTTGTCCAATGTACATAGCAGGCACATATGGCATAAATTATATTTCTGGATGCGCAGGAATATGTGTTCTTGATCTTATAACTCACTTGGTTAGGTCCAATAATGGTATCAGCAGAATGAATATGTGGACAAAGCTGGCAACAGGGTTTGTTGCAAGGGAAGGTACCAGGGTTGGTATTAGTGTGGTATGTCCTGTGGTTGTTGGTAAGAATCATCTTGAGGTTAGGTGGTTGTCTATAGGGGTATGTCTACACTACCCTCCTAGTTCGAACTAGGAGGGTAATGTAGACATACCGCACTTGCAAATGAAGCCCGGGATTTGAATTTCCCGGGCTTCATTTGCATAAGCGGGGCTCCGCCATTTTTAAATCCCCGCTCGTTCGAACCCTGTGCCGCGCGGCTACACGCGGCACGAACTAGGTAGTTCGAAGTAGGAAGCCTAGTTCAAACTACCGTTACTCCTCATTCCGCGAGGAGTAACAGTAGTTCGAACTAGGAAGCCTAGTTCGAACTATCTAGTTCGTGCCGCGTGTAGCCGCGCGGCACAGGGTTCGAACGAGCGGGGATTTAAAAATGGCGGAGCCCCGCTTATGCAAATGAAGCCCGGGAAATTCAAATCCCGGGCTTCATTTGCAATTGCAGTATGCCTACATTTCCCCGCTAGTTCGAACTAGCGGGGTAGTGTAGACATACCTAGGAGACTATGGGTCTGTCTCTTGGAGGGTAGTATCCTGTTCCAGTTTAGGTTGTAGTTTATTGATAATGCGTTGAACGGGTTTAAGTTGGGGGCTATAGGTGATAAGTGGTGTTCTATTGTTGGTTTTCCTGGGTCTGTCTTTAAGTAGATGGTTTCTGGGTATTCATTTGGCTCTTTCAATTTTTTTTATTTCTCTGGGTGGGTAATTGAGGTTTATAAATGCTTGGTAGAGATCCTGAAGTTTCTGGTCTCTGTCAGTGGGATTAGAGCAGATGTGATTATATCTAAGGGCTTGGCTATAGACGATGGATCATATGGTGTGTTCTGGATGGGAGCTGGAGAACATACAATACAATCTATCGTCTATAGCCAAGAGACTTTAACTCCAGACTTCAACGAGAAGCTTCAGAACTGTCATTCATGCTTAAATTTGACTCTTTATTTATGGGTTTAAACAAAGACTCTAATTGTCTCACTCATTACAAAGATCGCTTCCCCAATTATCACCCATATGTCACAACCTCACAGAAACTCCCCTCCCCACTCCCACTCTGTTCTAAAATTTGATTTGTCAATTTCACGTGCGTTCACTTTTTTTATTGTATCACTTTGGTATATATAGTTGTGCCGATTTTCTTCCACATATTGATCTGAGGAAGTGGGTCTGGCCCACGAAAGCTCATCACCTAATAAACCATCTTGTTAGTCTCTAAAGTGCTACATAGTTCTGTCTTTTGTTTCATTATACTGAAACAATGTATCTGAGCATTTTCAATTTTAAAGATACTGTCTGATCACATTCTGCCTTTAGATGTGTATTGACAACTCTGTTGTCGAAATTTGTGTCCCTGACCTATAGAGTAATATCCATACAGCACATGTAGATTGTTAAAAGAAAGAAAAGAAGTGTAAATTCGTGCTATCTTTTCCTTGTATCATTTTTCCCCAACCTTGCATAGTTCTTTGGAAATACAAAATCCTTGTCAGTTCTATACCACTTCATGATTGTAACTGAATTTTTTCTTGAAGTAGAAAAATTAGAGTAAAAGCTACTAGAATGTGCATGCAGGGGGGTGGAGAAATCCCTTTAAAAGGGTTTTATTTTTTTTAATTTTAGTTGTAGCAACTTAACTAAAATACCTAACTGGCTGAAATGCTGCGTCACTAAAGTTTTCATATAGCCAAGCAACTGCCTCACTGAGTCAACCACGTTATATCAGTTGCTTTACAAGGTGGCTATGTGAATTGTGTTGAGATCTACTGGTCTGCAGTGCTGTGTTCAAACTTCTTTTCTCTTTCTTCCAGCAAAGTTTATGTACCTTTGCCCTGGGAATCTAGCATCCTCTGTTTGTTCTTTAACTTCACGCTCTCACAAAACAAGACAGATGACCCAGGGAAACATCTTGATTTTGTTTTTCACCTGATATCTCTTGCCACATCATTCCATCTCTCCCTGAGTAACTCTGGTTTTTTCTTTAGGAAAGGAATTGGACATCTGGTTTCCTATCCCACTGTCTAGAACTGAAAGTACGAGGTTCAGAGAGCCCAGACTTCTGTTTGTTTTTTGTATTGCCATTGAATGGATTTAATCTTTCTTCATTCCTGGACACTTCCTACCTTCCTTTGTCCTGTTCTCTGTACTCTTCCCAGCAGAGGCTGCTGTGCAGTCTTTTGTGGAATATTTGTAGCGGCAGTAACATGAAGCACTCTCGGGTGCTCTTTTGTTGCCTTGTTCAAGTTTAGACAACAGGCAGTTACTTTTGATTTCCTACTGTGAGATTTTTCTCATTCCCACTAATACTTCAAGCATTAGAGAGGGTATGAACCTGAGTGTCTGTCTGATTTTGCACTATGGCTAGTTCATAGATGATATAAAAAAATATCTCATCTGGTATCCTCTGCATATTCACAGTGTAGGAGATATGTCAATATACCTTGAACTGGTGGAACGTTCTAGTAGTGCTCATTGGAATGGCTCTTGTACCTCCTTTCTGTGACTTTGTGGCTCTAAACTTCTTGCACATCTGTTCTCAAATTGGGCCAGGACCTCATTTTAATGGCATTTTCAGGTCTGGCTCAGGCTTCCCCTTCCTCCCCCACACCCTGCCTGCGGCTCTGTATAATATTTGTTTTCAGAAGGTGGTATGCTGCAGTGAAGTTTCAGAACCTCTGTTCTAGAGGATGGACTATGAAAGGGATAGGGGTGATAGTCTATTTGGGTATGTCTCCACTACCACCTTAGTTCGAACTAGGGTGGTAATGTAGTTAATCGGAGTTGCAAATGAAGCCTGGGATTTGAATTTCCCCGGCTTCATTTGCAAGAAGAGTAACGGTAGTTCAGAATAGGAAGCCTAGTCCGAACTACCTAGTTTGTGCCGCATGTAGCCGTGGGGCACGGAGTCCGAACTAGCAGACGTTTAAAAATGGCGGCGCCCGGCAACATGCAAATGAAGCCTGGGAAATTCAAATCCCGGGCTTCATTTGCAACTCCGGTTGACTACATTACGACCCTAGTTCGAACTAGGGTGGTAGTGTAAACATACCCTTAGTTTTAATTTCAGCCACTTCTATTTTGCTGAATGGGATGTCTCCTTAATAAAATAGGATGGAGATATTTGACAAAGCAAAACTGTATACATAGTTTTTCTTCACTTGTAATACCTGTCTCCTCTAATCTATAATCCTTGCTTTTGTGTATACATCTTTATATTGCTAATGTTACATTTTTAGTTTGCTTGTCAGGTGACTGAGTTAAGTGGCCCCTTGCTGAAGAGAGATTTCTCCATTGAGATTTTTTTACTTTTGCCTAGAAGGTTGATCTGTCATCTTTTGTGTATGGAATCTTATCCTGTAGGAGAGGAGAGGGCCTTCAAGCACATGCCATTATGTAATTTTATCTTAACATTAGTAGGATTTCTGTGCACATGTCTAAATGCAGAATGTAGTCTTGTACTAATTACATTTATCATTACAATGTTGTCCTACATGACAATTTTCAGAGCAGGTTTTTTTAAACCTGTATCGTGACTGTAGGATTTTTCAAGACGACACCTTTGTTTTTTAGGGGAAAAAAGTAGTTCCATGCAGGCATGATTGGCATCAAACTGGAGGTGAAGTGACTATTTCAATATATGCAAAAAATTCACTTCCTGAACTTAGCCATGTAGAAGCAAATAGTACTATGGTGAGTATCTGTGGCTTTTTTATTTTAAATAGATAAATATTTCATTTTGTGGCTAAACTTGATGCTTAAATATAGCAAAATAAGTCACTTTTGTGTGTAAATATTAAAATACGATCTTTTTGCTTTATTAAGAAAAAACACAAAGTAAAACAAGATAGCTGTCTTTGTGAGACATAATTCTTAATTGGTTCAGTTTTGGTAGATCTGCAGGCATTTTTTTTCCTTTTTTGTTCATTTAGACAAACTTTTTACGTTTAAACCTTTACAGAACTTTTTTAAAAGAACTTTATATAATTACATTACCAAAATATTATTGTTCGGTTTTTAAAAGTAAGCAGGCTCTCTCACCATATGTAACTTTGCAGAGATACTGTGCTATTACAGAGATTTTTAAAATGAAATATTCTAATTTCTGATTCTGTAAATACACATTTTGCAAAATTGAATAGCCTAGTACTGTTATCACAGGTAAAAAATGTTCACATTTAATTGAGATCCTCCATCTCCTAGGATCCATTTGTAGATTTGTGTGTTTGTGTGAAGTCCTGGTAACTTTAATGATGTAGGATTAGTGTACTAATGTCATAGTTTAAATTAAAAGTAAGTCACTTGACAATAATAAATCTCTTCTGTATTTTTTCTCATTTAGTTAAATATCCATATTATATTTGAAGGAGATAAAGAATTTGATCGCAGTGTGAAATTGTGGGGAGTAAGTATAACCTCCTGAATGTTTTGTTAAGACTTTTAGTTCACTTTACCCTCAGCCATAGCTTTTTCAGAATAGAATTAGGGGGTTTTTTCCCCCTAAAACTACCACATTTCTACAAGTCTGGATTATCAAGAGAAGTTAATTTGTGCAGGATTTACTAGTTTTATCATAATTGTAATCTGAATACTGTAAAAAATTTATATGCCATTAGAAAAGATCTGGCCTAGAATTGCATACACCAGACTTGTGCATTCATACAGTAACATGCGTATTGTACATGTATATGCACACCAGTTTTTCTCTTCATGGCTTAGAGGAGGAGTGCTTAATAGATGAACAACAGGTCAAATAAGTACAGCCACTCACAGCAGAATTAGGGCTTTAGCCTGATAAGTAATTAACTCTTCACTTACTCATCTTTTCATTTGTGGCTAAGCCATAGTTAGAGCACTACAGAATGCTGCATCTGATGTAACCCTGCTTAAAATACATGAAACTTTTCCATGATCTTCTCATGATACTCTTTGGTGCTTTTGGAAACTACAAGGATGCCTTCTGCATTACCAGAACTCACTGTATTCTGATTGGCCTGGGAGCAGGGAGAGCGCAGAGAGAGTCTTGCCCCCTTTCCTCGAATTGCCAGCTGTTTTAAAACAGCTGGCAGTTCTTTCTAGCCACCCCTTGCCCCGGGCAGGGGGGCGAGTGACTTGGCACACTCCCCCGCCCCCAGACCCTGATTGGACTGTGGGCAGGGGGAGTGTGAGAAGACTTCCTCCTGCTGCAGTGCCTAAAGGGAACGGCCAGCTGTTTTAAAACAGCTGGCAATTCTCTCTGGGAACAGGGGGGGGCAAGACTTCACGTACTCTGCCACCTCCAGGCCAATCAGGGTCTGTGGGCAGGAAAGCATGGGAAGTCTCCTGGCCTCATCCCTTCTACCTGAGGCCCTGTCCCTTCTGTGGCGGCCCACGGCCACTTCAGAAATGTATGAAGTGGCCCCCTTTTAAAAATTGCCAGCCCCTGTGTTACACAGTGATCTGGTCATGTCTACACCATAATCTCCTCTCTTCAAAACCAGGTTTCTCTGGTACTGTACCAACATTTTCTACACCACTCGCAGTTTTCCAGCAATGAGCACAACAGAGCTAAGG